CCAGGGTCAGTGTGTCGTTGCCAAGCCTGCAGTGGTCAGTGTCCCGCTGCATGGATATGCCTCCCCAGATATCACTGACCCACTGAACAGTGGTACAGACAGCAAAATGTTCTTCAGATCCTTTAACGCCTGTCACATGTGCTCAGGGTGAACCTGCTCTCTCTCTGTGAAAAGTGCAAGGAATTAGTGGTGGAGCTGCCAATTTTGGTATTCTGTGGCATATGTCAGTCTCCGTGGTGCCAGGGAGTGAGCGCAGGGCCCACTAGAAGATGTTGACCCCTCAGACCACCCTTATGAACCCATACAGGGTTCCCATGGCAATGACTTCAGCTTCCAGGGCCCTCTTCTGTGAAACCAGCTACTAGTTTAGATTCTGGAGACAGAGACCTCCCTACTTTCAAGATCAGGTTTAAAACTTTTGATAAAGCTTATACTTAAACCTGGATCAGGTGACCCTGAATCCTCCCTTAGTTATGCTGCAATAGTTTCAGACTACTGCGGGCTTGTAATGGTGCACTCAGCATTTCTTCTTCACTGTGTTTATACCCCACTCTGCATTTCCACAGTGTGTGTTTTGTCCTGTCCTCCTGTTTGTTTTTGGGTTTCTCCTTCCCAGTGTCCCCAAGTGCTTAATTAAAAGGGGGGTGTTTTTTCTGTATTGTTTTAGGGTCTTTACCTGACAGTATAAAGCACCTTAAATAAATTTATGTTAAATAAAGTCTGTTTCTAATTGTTTCTGTCCTGTTGGAGGTCATTTTGTAGCTCTGGGCCTTCTATGGTCCTCTCCAGCTCTGCTAGAGTAACTGCCTTTCTCCTAGAATCTCCTCTGTGCTCTTGACAAGTTTGCAAACAAACCTTCTGGCAATGGGACTTATTGATGTGCCATGCTGGAGGTTTTGAACTACCTTTGCAGCCTCTGTAGGCTCCAGGTATCGCCCCAGCAGTGACACTGACACTAGCTAAATGCAAAAGTGGTCAAAAAACAGAAAAGATGAGGAGGGAAAAATGTCAGTGGCCACTTATAAAGCCATTCCTGTTTTGGGGGCTGTCTCATTGTTGCCCCTCTAATGCACCTGTTTTTAATTTCATTAACACCACCTTCTGCTGCTTGACTGGCCACATCAACATCCCAGAAGCGTCACTGAATTGATGCTATTCTCTCATTAAAATGTGCCCCTTTCATTTTTAGAGCAGAGTACATGTACATTATTTTCTCCCTTCAGTCACTTTATTACATGTTGGGTCCAAGCTTCATGTGAACTAGAAGGAACTAGTTAGCATTCATTTTTAGCACTGATGGCGTTAATGCTTTCTGTCTTACGTGTATCTTCCTGTTAGAGCAATCCATCCTACGTGACTGAGATGTCAGCTTGCCACCAGAGGGCAGCAGAGTCCATCGTGGAAGGAGCCATAAAGAATGGAGGCCTGTACATTAAGCTTGGCCAAGGCCTGTGTGCCTTCAACCACCTGCTACCCCCTGAGTACATCCACACCCTGCAACTACTAGAAGACAAAGCTCTAAACAGGAGGTACAAAGAGGTGAGGAGTGCAGCACAAGCAAAGCACAGGACTCGTGAAAGAGGACAGAGTGACACTGGTCAGGATGTGTCTGTCTCTAACAGGTGGACGCTCTCTTTGAAGAAGACTTCAACAAGACCCCTGATAAGCTTTTTAAAGCATTCGACTATGAGCCCATCGCTGCTGCCAGCTTAGCTCAGGTTCATAAAGCCCTGCTGTTTGACGGGACTCCGGTCGCTGTGAAGGTGAGCTGCAGAAATCACTGTTAACATTTTAAATGACCTCACTACAGCAGTGAAGCATTAGCCTCATGAAACAATGATTCAGTTATGTCTGAGGTTTTATTTTTGGTTATGGGAAAGTTTGGTCCTGACTTTTAATAGTTTCTCGTCCTGTTTCACACAGGTGCAGTTCATTGACCTCAGGGATCGCTTTGATGGAGATATCAGAACATTGGAGATCCTGCTGGATATGATTAAGTTCATGCACCCCAGTTTTGGGTTCCGATGGGTCCTTAAGGTCAGAAAGCGTCTGTATGACTTGACCGATTCACTCGATGTTCTAAACCCAGGGTGTCCATCTCCAGGCCTCAAGGGCCCGTGTCCTGCAGGTTTTAGATGTGCCCTTGATCCAACACAGCTGATTTAAATGGCTAAATTACCTCCTCAACATCTCTTGAAGTTCTCCAGAGGCCTGTTAATGAACTCATTTGAGTCAGGATGATATCTAAAACCTGCAGAACACTGGCCCTTGAGGTCTGGAGTTCACCACAGTTTTCTGTTTAGAAAACTTCAGAAGTTACAGAGTTTTATTGTAATTTGTGTAGGACTTGAAGGGAACACTGGCTCAGGAGCTGGACTTTGAGAATGAGGCCAGGAACTCTGAGAGGTGCGCAGAGGAGCTGAAACACTTTAAATTTGTGGTTGTACCTAAAGTCTTCTGGGAGCAAACCAGCAAGGTGAAGTTGTTGTCAGTGGTACAGAGTAGTGCTGGGCGATATGGAAAAAATATTTATCACGATAGGAATTCTTTTATATGACGATAACAATATATATCACAATGTACCACCTGACCTGTGGTCATCTGGAAAGTACGCAGTCTGTAAACAGCGAGCGCAGAGGGTGCAGTCTTTGTTAATGAAATGGATGGTTACGCTCATGTAGGGCTGCGTATCTCTGCTCGTCCATAGGCCAGTCGTCAAGGCATAATGCACAACACTGCAAACATCCTTCTCTCCTTTGGGCCGGCATGCGTCATAAGCGAGGCAACTCGACTTTACTGAAGTGCTTACGTACATAACGTACCTCGGATCAAGGACTTTGACGAGGTTACGAAAGCTGTCCTTCTCAACTACATAAACAGGGGCCATGCCTTTACAAATGTAATGCGAGATGGCTCCTGTGATTTGTTTATGGTGCTGGGACGTTTTCTCATAAGGGCCTTGTGTGAAAGACTGCTGTATCTTCGGCTGGCTATAGTTTTTCTTTTCCCAACTTGCTCCCATCGTTCCACAACTTGGTTTAGCTTGAATTTTCTAGATTCTTGAGTATTCCTTTTCGTCGACCTTCTGTAGGTGATAGAAGAGATTTGTTGTGTTGCCATCGGGTGCAGGAATAGTTTTATAGCATAGCTTGGAAATGGGCGTCTTCTGCTCCGTGTTGGTGCTGTTGAACTCAAAATGTAACCAAATCACAGACGTACCCCCTCTTTTCGGTCTAAGTGCTTCTTCCTGGGCTGCCTGTGTAGCTGTCTCTGCCTGTTGCATGTCCGGGCATGAAACTGCAACATGTCGCACGTCCATCGTTTTGAATTACCGTAAAGCATGTCGCAAATCCGGGTGCACGTAAAGCAGCACCATGTCGCAATACCACAAGACGGAGTTTCTTTGCGAAAAATATCTTCTTCTTTTTTTTTTATACTTTATTTTCTCTTGCATAAAGTTAAGAGTATGTATAGTGAGAAGACAACACTAATATATTTGCCACAGGCTATTTAATGTTATATTTTATGTAATAATTTAAAAAATTATGATAGAAACGATAGAAGACAAATGGCATGATAGACACTTTTCTATCGTCCACACGATGTATATCGTCATATCACCCAGCACTAGTACAGAGTAAGTGCACAATAATACTGCTCGACTTCCATCAGCATCCTCTTTATTTTTTCTCTCCAATACTCAGAGAGTGCTGACAGCAGAGTTTTGCGACGGCTGTAAAATCAACAGCGTGGAAGAAATAAAACGTCAAGGACTGAGTCTGAAAGATGTAAGCTGCGCAGCTGACGATACTCTAAATCCTCGAGTCACTCGCCTCTTCTCACTCTCTGTTTCAGTGTCTTTTGTTTCTCTTCTCTCACCCTCAACAAGTTGTGGCAGGTGGCTGCCCCTCCCTGAGCCTGATTGTGCTGGAGGTTTCTTCCTGTTAAAATACATTTTTCCTTCCCACTGTCGCCAAGTGCTTGTTATTGTTGGGTCTGTGCAACATAAACCACTTTAAGGCAACAGTTTTTGTGACTTTGGTGCTATATAAAATAAATGTAGCTTTATTTTTCAGACTGCAGATAAACTGATCAGAACATTTGCTGAGCAGATATTCTACACGGGTTTTATCCATGCAGACCCTCACCCCGGGAATGGTAGGTACATCACATGGACTGTAGAGCATGGAACCACTGGTGTTGTTACTCTGCATTTTTTAAACCTCAGCATTTGGTTTCCTCCATGTTGTTGTTGTTGTTGTTGTTGTTGTTGTTGTTGTTCTTTTTAATGGCCCAAAAAGGCTCATAATTAGGAATGAGGGTACATTTTAAACCCAACACTGGCTACCTTGTAAGGACAATCTTTACCTTATAGAAGTGATTCAATAAAGTCCTGTGATTTCACTCATTAAAACTGAAGCACAAACTTCCTGGATGCTCTGTTCCACATAACAGGACATGTTGTTTGTCAGTTAATTCCATTAAAATCTATGAAAGGCATCAACACAGCTGACAAAGAAGCCAGACACCTGTAAGCCTTAGAAAAATCCAAATGAGAAAAGTCACACACTTGAGTGTTTATTAAGAAACTTGTTTATAGCAGGGTTGTTAAATCAGTGGCTGTGTGGGAAGTTTAATTCTTTAAAATTCTGAGATTTTTTGTTTTTACTTTTTTTTACATTAACGTTCATAAACAAGTTCAAGTTGTTTACTCATGCTAAAAAAACATATACATATCATATGAAATGACATGAGTTAGTAACAGAGGCTCTAAAGGGAAGAAGTCACTCAAACTTGGATCATGTGTTGCAGTTCTCGTGAGGCGAGGTCCTGACAACAAGGCGGAGCTGGTGCTGTTGGACCACGGCTTGTACGAATACCTCAGTCAGCAGTAAGAAACTGATGAGTCGCCATGAGATACTCTCAGGTTTTTGTTCAGCTATCTGCTTTAACTCTGACCTTTGAACTTAGAGATCGAGAGGCCCTCTGTAAACTTTGGAGGTCCATAGTCCTCAGGGACGAGGCAGAAATGAAGCAGCAGTCCAGCGCCCTCGGGGTCAAAGGTCAGGACGCTTGACTTAAACGCCATGTTAACTTTGTTATGAACAAATGTGGGGATTAAAATCAAACACGAGGGCTCGTCGTCCTCTGCAGAGTACTTCCTCTTCTGCGAGATGCTGCTGCAGCGACCAATCAACATGCACAAGTTGGGTCTGTCCAACATCCTGAGCAGGGAGGAGACGGCCTACATGCGTGAGATGGCCGTCCACCGCTTCGAGAGCATCATGCAGGTGCTGAAGTCGATGCCTCGGCCCATGCTGCTGGTGTTCAGGAACATCAACACGGTGCGGAGCATCAACATCAAACTGGGGGCGCCGGTGGACCGCTACTTTGTCATGGCCAAGAGGTAAACACCCTAACACAACATCTCAGGGGTCAGGGCCATTAAGGATGAGAGCAGCATTGTGTAAAGCAATATTTCTTTTGGGAATGTCAGTCGGTACTTAGCTTTAAATTAGTGGGTATGCTGCGTGTTGCCCCTGTGTGGATACAGCTGCAAGGATCAGCTAATGAGTGTGCACACCACAGTTTCACCCATATACAGTCACTTCTGACTCCAAAAATCATCAGCCAAAAACCCTAATGCACAGACACCAGTAGGTGATGGCTTATGACTCTGTCCATCTGTTATCTACAGTCTGTTTAAAACACCTGATGCCTGGAAGTATTCAAACAATAAAGAGCGTAATGAGTCAATGTCTGCTGGGCAGTTAGTGTGAACCCTGAGTAAGCAGAACCCAAAGTGGGCCCCACACACACTCAAAGAAAACCAGGCCTCAGGATCAATACATTTGTCCTTATTTGTTTGTTTTTTTTTGAGACGCTTTGAACTTTGTTTTAACTTATGCTTAGCTTATCAAAGAAAAATGTCCCCACACGGTTGGTCAAAAAGCACTATGGATTTCTAGTTCAGGACCTTGCATTAATAACTTAAAGGCACATGGCCTCTATTGGACCAAGTTTTGTGAAGAAATAAAAACCGATCAATGCAGCGCACTGAACTCCACACTTGCAGTCTGCTCATTTTCCAGCATGAAAGTTATAATAGAAATTTCCCCAGAGCGCAAAGTTGTTTGAGCAAAAATGCAGAATTTTAAAGCCTGACACTGAATTACATGTTTATTTTTAAATGTAATTTTGTGTCTCGGTGACCATTAAAGTTGATTAAAACAATACTTTAAAATATCTGCCTCAAGAAGTGCTGTGAGTGATAATCTTTTGTGAAGGCTCCACATCTCCAGCAGAATGTCATAAAAGTTTGCAGATCTTGTGCATGTCTCTTTTTCTCATCAACAGCGCCGTGCGAGGCTGGGGGAAGATTCAGGCTGAGAAGGTCGGCGTCCTCCCTCAGCTTTGGCTCTTCCGCTGGGGGAGGACTGCATGGGAGAGCGTCAAGTTTGAAGTTGCTCTGAGGTGTGCAATAATTAAAGAAATTATATGTTCTGTGATTGGAGCCACTGAGGCTGATTAGATTACTTTTACAGATCAGAGATGGCAGTGATGAGCCTGACACGTGCGGTCCTGGCGCTGCTCCAGTACTTGGGCCTCCTATCGCTGGACTCCGACTTGTACGAGTACCTGAAATAAGCGCGCAAGCGTCTCACTACAAAGGATTCATTCCAAGCACAAGTGAACGCAGCTCATCAGTGAGCCTTTTGCTGCTCAAGCAGCTCTGAGTGCTGGTGGTTTACGGTGCTGCTCGACTGTGAGCAACGTTCCCACCAAACCACCTTCAGGGTCTGCTGGGGGAGAATGTGCTCCACTACAAGACTGTAAGCATCCGTTCCAGGGCGAGAGGAGCAACACTACCAATGTGACTTTTAAGTAATTAAATCTTATTTATTTTAGAGAAATTTTGGGAAACCAAATCCAATGAGGTTTTTAACCTGCAGGTTTTTTAATGAAGCAGACATTTTCTCAGTTATTCTGTCCAGCACCACCTGACTGTTTAAATTATGAGAACATGGTAATAAAACACGAAGAAATCACACCAGTCTTGGTTTGTTTTTTTTCCCTCTTTTATACAAAATATTCTAAGAAAACAAATCAAAGTTTCCATAACAAAAACTCCTCTGTTCACTATAAAACAGCTCAGTGAAGAAGAAGCAGGAATGTGGCGTTCAGAAATGAGCCGTTACTCTGTCGATCTCCAGAAGGTCATCCAGGATCTGCAGGGAGAAGGAAATTAAATGAGTGAAGAGCTGAGCTAACGGGAAGCTCCGGTCTGCTGTTCTGTGCACTCACGATGTCCTGAGTCGTCCCGATCTTCTTGGCCAGCTCGCTGCGCTCCATCGTGCTGAGGTACAGGTACTTGTTGAGGAGCTCTCCATCCAGGATGTTCTTCACAGGATTCTGAAGGCTCCGCCTGTCGCTGTGCAGCATTCTGGATACCACAGACAAACACGTCACTCACATCAGCATCCCGAACTGTAACGTTTCATAATTCATGTCAGAGAGCTGCAGTGCTGCTAACCTGAAGGCTTTTGGGTTCAGACCGGCGTGATGAGGCAGCATGGTGGTGAGCGCATTTTGCAACATCAGCAGACGGCGGTAAGTCTTCTCCTGCATGGGGAGGAGCAGGCCGATGCCTCCATCCAGGGTTGCTGTGGGAACATGATTAGTTCATATAGGGAACTGAAGCTTCTCATTACCATGTGATTCATACTGGTTGTGATTTGGCGATTGTGATAAGTTCACAAAATAAAATCAGCATAAATCAGTAACAACAATCGCCTCACTTTATATTGTAACGTAAAGACTGAGCAAGTGCTTTGGTGACAGTGGGAGGGAAAAACTCATTTTTAACAAGAACTTTTAGTTTAGTTTTAAAATACATCGTTTACAGTTTGTTTTCAGTTACATCAAATTTCTTTTAATTTACTGTCATATCCTCTCACCCCAACCGGTCGCAGCAGATGGCCCCGCCCCTCCCTGAGCCTGGTTCTGCCGCAGGTTTCTTCCTATTAAACGGGAGTTTTTCCTTCCCAGTGTTGCCAAAGTGCTTGCTCATAGGGGGTCATATGAATGTTGGGTTTTTCTCTATTATTGTACGATCTACTGTACAATGTAAAGCGCCTTGAGGCGACTGTTGTTGTGATTTGGCGCTATATAAATAAAATTGATATGAATTAAATTGAATATCTTTGGCTCACAGCACATTTGCAATGTTGTGACTGAATGTGATTCGGTAACATCAGCTTAGTTCAGTTAATAAAAGGAATATTTGTTGGTATGAGTTTTGATTCTCCCGGTAAAGCCTTGTGCTGCTACCCACCGAACCACGTGATGTGCTTGTTGTCCCAGGTTAGAGCCTTTTTGCTGCTAGCGTCCAGCGCCCCTCTGCACGGCATCCGCCAAAAAGTGTTGATGTTAGCTCCGGCGTTGAAGTCCGCTCGCCTCAGCAGGCGCATTCCTCCAAAGCTCTCTTTAGCTGCAACACACACACACGGAGCACTTAACAAGGACTGTGTAATTTTAAATTAAGTTACAAAACATCTACAGCACATACCTTCAGGCAAATACATGTAAACATAGAGGTTCTTGTCTCGATCTGACACTGAAAGCAAGAGAACAGAAAAGCTTTGTGAGAAAACGATTTGATCATTAAAGTTTCTTTGTTGTTGTTGATTGTTTTTGTAAAATAAAGATTATTCCAGACGTTACCCAAGAACCCAAGCTGGTTGTTATCCACCATGAATTCGATGCTGTAGACTTCTAAAGGCTTTGCATCCTGTTGCCAAAACAATAAGAAAAGAGTTAAAACCCAACAGAGAAGGCTACAGGCCCCTGAATCATCCCCTGCTGCCAGAGCTGCTCTCGTCAAGATGAACCTGGCTGAAAGACATCAGTAATCACTCACAGATCTTCATCAGTACACCCTCCACTGTGTGCTGTAGCCAAGGTTACTTAATCCAGATTTACACTCTCATACAGCACATCTTTCCTGACTGTTTACAACCCTGACTTCATTTGGGAATACTTGAAATGACAGACGTTTGAGTCTGGGACAGGCTCCACCCACTGAGTCGTGGCGTGCCGTTTCCTCCTCACCCTGCTGACAAGAGACAGCGTCTTGCTCTCCTCCTGGTAGCGCAGTAGCGAGATGCTCTTCATCAAGTCAGCAGCCAGGATGAAATTCTTGATGCTGAACATCTGGTGGATGTAGAGCTGCGTGTCGATGAAGGCCATACCCGTCAGATCATTGTCCTTCAGGACCCACAGGAAGATCTGAAAGACGAAGTTATACCATTTGTTTTTGCGGGTGACTCACCTCTTTGGGTGATTATCGCAGAATTTCAAAAATGAAACATTAAAGGTCATTAAAACTCCAGCGAGCATCCTGACAAAAAATTCAGAGGCTTAATAATAAGTGAGTTCAGATGAGAGGCGACCGGGCACAATCAGTCAGATAGTAAAATCTGACTGCTTATGCAACATTTTCTAAAATATACAGCAATAACAAACTTTTAGAAGTACTAAATTTTAATGGTGGACAACTGATCCATTAAAGACCCTACAGTGTGACACTCTTCACTGAGTGGGATGTGTGTAGAGGCTGGATTAGAAAGCAGGTTAGGACTCCTGTTTGAGTACTGTTCAATAACCAGACCCAGTGTGACGGAGCACTGGTGTCGCTATATGCAGCCATGTCATGAGTGTTTTTCAGACCTTCTGGCCGATGGCTGACACCAGGTATCCGTTACAGTGACACAGAGCAGTCACCGGTCCCTTCTGCTCCTTCTCATAGAGCACTTTAAACTTGTTCTTGGTGAGGGGCTGGCCGGGCTCCGGCACCACTTCAATCACATCCAGGATCAGAATCTGAAGGTGAGACAAAATTGAAAAACAAAAAACGAATTTAATGGAAGTTAACAAAGTAGTTTTGTTACGAGGTGACATGTGGGAGGAAGAGACTAAATAATGTTTCATTTCCAGCTCACCCGGCCCCTGCAGGTGACCTCCTCCCCCTGCATCAGACACGTTCCTGCTGCGATGTAACCCTTCAGTCCAGACACAGTCTCCTGACTCCTCAGTGCCACCGTCTTCATGCACGTGACGTGTTCCCACTCCTCCAGGTCAATCCTTTATGGAGACAGACGTCACAATCATTCACTCCTGTTAGCATCCATCTATCTATAATACAGCATCGTCCAGTCATAGATTACTGGGATTTATATGGCTGTATAGATTATATGTCAATATGGAGAAGGTGCTAGAAAGATTGCCAGCTCAGCAGGAAATCATCAATCAGGTACATATGGTCGAGCAGCCAGTGTGAGACGATTTTTTTCTCTGGGTGATTTTGTGACGATCGAAGCAACGCTGGGGGGGCTTTGAGTGGGGAAAAAACCCAAGTGTGCACTACAGGTGATTGATTTTTATTGTATAAATCATATACAGAGAGGGATACAAAGAGCAGGGGATCTCAAACTGTGAGGTGGGTCACATTGGTGGGGCATGGAGGCCCAGGGGAAAAGCATGAGCGGAAAGTTGAATCAATATAAATTCTGAAGAGAAAATAAACATACTACATTGCACCATCAAGCGGACCTTTAGTTCACTAAAAGTCAAACCTGAACTTTTTTTTTTTGATAATGACTTGGGGAAAAGGAAGGTAAACTTTTTTTTTAGTGGGCGATTTGAGCAAAGCGAAAGAAAGCAGACCTAAAGCAGCAGCATGAAACTAAAATACTAAAACTGTTCTCCCGGGCTTAAACCAGGGAAACACTAGCTCACTAGTCTGAGTTATCCGCCTGTAACTAAGTTCTCCATCGTCCTTTGAAGAGGTCACGCTCTTATGCAAGTGAAGTGTGATCAAAGCGCTCAAAAAAGTTACATTACAGTAACTTGCAGTAAAGCAGCTGCTCTTTAGACACAGCATTTGAAGATAATAATAATAATAATGATGATAATAATGGATTAGATTTATATAGCGCTTTTCAAGGCACCCAAAGCGCTTTACAAT